AGCGCTCTACCCGGACACTGCCACGGGGGCTGTGCTCTATCCTTGTTGATATTTAAACAAAATAGGGTTTTTCACTGCAAATGTGGCATCACAGTTTGACAAGCGCTGACTTTTTCCCCTCAGTTTATTAACTGGAGATGCTTAAGCAAACTGCTGGTTTTTGCTTAGTACCAGTGTTTTGCCTTTATAACAGAACTGTATGGGACAGGCATTCTTGATAATGTTGAGATTGCACTAGGAATTGTGTTAGTTAAAAACAGCGTTTCTGCAGGTTGCATGATAATAGTGGCTATTTTAGACAAAAAGTTTTCGGTGATGGAAGGTATTCCCAAAAAACATTTTTCTGATTTTAAAAAAAGGATTCTCTCACCCTGTTTTTAACAATAGTAAAATTGATAAAACTATGGTCCTAAAAACCTACCATCACTTTGGAGGGGCAAGCGACAAGCTGTTGAGTCACCACTCTGGTGTCCATGTTCAAAAAATGCTATTGGCATTGAGTTAAATATGATTTTCCATTAGCTCACCTTAATACATAGGGAGAGTGCAAATCTCTGAAGATTCCCTAATTTCTGTGTGTATTGTGACTATTTAAGGGAGGGGGGGTTGGGTTGAACAATTTTGTCCTTGTTATAAAATTGTTAATTCAATGAAAGGTTATAAGCCTGCAAACTGGTCTTTTAATCTGATATGAAAAGCTTGAAGCAACAGGCCAATAGATGCTAAAATGTGAATCTTCTGAGGCTGATGCTGAACTTTGAGCATCATTTTCTTTCCTCTTAGGCTTCTAGACAAGCTTCAGGTATCCCAGGGATGACTCCAACAGATGAAAAGTAAGTGGCTTCCTCCTTCGCATTCATTTTAACTGACCTTTGTTGCTGACACTGTTCATATAAGTGTGTTTTTTATTCCTGTTACTCTTCCCTCAGAGATGGGAACTTGCCAGACATTGTAACCAGTGGCAGCCTGCATGAGTTCCTGGTGAATCTGCATGAGAAGTATGGCCCTGTTGTCTCTTTCTGGTTTGGAAGACGCCTTGTGGTCAGCGTGGGGTCCGTTGATCTCCTAAAACAACACATTAATCCCAACAGGACATGTAAGTTTAATTTGCTTTCTCTCAGATTCATTTCTCTGTTCGCTTTTACCCAGGGTTAAATTCTGGCTCCACTGAAGTAAATGAGGGTTTTGCCATTGACTTTGAGGGAGGTAGGATTTCATTCACGGTATTTAAAGGAGTGAAATTCAGCTTGAAACTGAATGAGTGGTGTGAGCTTAAGTCTCTGCTACTGCTTATAGAGATTGCATTTAAATGACAAAACATTGTAACCATCCAGTGGTCTTTATAAAATTAGTTTGGTGATCTTTGTCCACTTCCCAGTGAGCAAGTATCCACATCACAAACCAGCCCTCATTAAACAGAGAGGCCAAAGCCAGAATGGTCATGGAGAATAAGCTACCCAACCTCTCACCTCGATAGGTAGTCCCACCAGGGAAAATGTAGGAAAACCTTAACTGTGAGCTCTGTTACACTGTCTCCCCAGTGAAAATGGAAGCTCCTTCACTTTGGGTCACTTAAAATAGATTGGACAAAGTAGTGTGGGTTGTACTGTAGGGAAGAGAAGAACCTAGCACTGGGCTAGATGATCTCGCAGATCTCCTGACTAAATTCTATTTCTTTGTGAAAATAGAATTCTTATGAGCACTAGACTTTGGTGACATGAATGAATTAAAAAGGCAAATATAGCCAAGTCCCCATGTACTCATTGGGAAGCTTGGTGTATGTTCTGCATCAAGGACTCTGAATTCTCTTGCACTCTAAGGCAGCAGGACAGATTCTGTGGTAGTTTCAAATGAATTTTAAAAGGGAAGATTTTAAACATAAGAACGGCCATACTGGGTCAGACCAAAGGTCCATCAAGCCCAGTATCCTTTCCTCTGACAGTGGCCAATGGCAGGTGCCCCAAAGGGAATGAACAGATCAGGTTATCATCAAGTCATCCGTGCCCTTTCAACCAATCCCAGCTTCTGGCAAACAGAGGCTAGCGACACCATTCCTGCCCATTGGCTAATAGCCATTGATGGACCTATCTTCCATGAATCTGTCTAGCTCCCTTTTGAACCCCGTTATAGGATTGGCCTTCACAACACCCTCTGGCCAGGAGTTCCAGAGGTGGACAGTGCATTGCGTAATTTTTTTTTATTAGATTAAATTTGAAAATGGATAATACAATTAGTGCAGATATTAAATTTAGCTTATTTTAAGAAGTCCTGTATATTTTATTTTTCTTTGTGTAGCAAAATTCTGTATTGGAAAAAACATTTGATTCATAAAAATTGTCAAGAGGGAAATATCCTACTGGGTTTTTTAGCAGCAGGGTAGGAGGGAAGTGGGGCTTTTGGCACTAGGAAAGGTGTGGCAGGTGTTCTGAGTCAGTAGGAATAAGCACATTGGTTAAATGTTTCTACTTAAAGGATCAGCAGCCAACTAGCTACCCATGGTCATGTTTAAATTGTCATCATTAGGTTTCAAAGTTACCAACTTACTGAGATGAATCGATGCAGTTCACACACCGAGCTAATTTTTCAGGCTCTCTGGAGACTCATAAGGGTCAGGACTTCTGTTTCCCTTTGAAATGAAAGCTTGGATTCCAGATCATGATTCCTTGGCAAATTCCACTGCTGCAGAAGATGAAAGGGGGTCTGTATAATTTAACATGACACTGTTTTCCATAAGAGACGTGGCACTCCTCTGCAGATGGGTAAAAGGAGTAGGTGTTAGTAACAGTAGTGCAATAAGAGCTCATTGGTGTGGGATTGTATGAGAAGCAACGTTATAGCCGAAAGTAAAAGATTCTGGAATTAGATTTCCCCTTATTATATCCTGACATGATTGTTGAAGGTAGTGCACATCCCCCAGCTCTTTCACATTGACTGACACATTGTGTGCATGTCTGCAATGCTAGTGGGTAAAGTGAGGCCACAGAGCAGTAGAAGAAAGGAGACGAGCAGCACTGTATCCATGCCTCTCTCTGGGCCTCCATCCCATGAAATAATTGATTCTAAAATGAGCTTGTGGAGCAGTAGAACAGCAATGTTGTATCCATGAAGTAAGATGTAAACAGATTGTAAGTGAGCCAGGCTGCTAACTAATTGCATTGGGGTCGGGTTGTAGTGTCATCTGATGCTGTACCAAGTTGATGACATTATCAGCCAGGGACGTTGTAACAAGTTATAACTTATTGCTGCAGTTCTCATAAAAATGGTGAGAAGAGCCAGTTGACTGTTTATGTAGCATGGCGGCACTGCACTCCAGGGAGACACTCCTAAGTATGCTAGGAGCAGCATGCTGTACTGTCACATGGAGGATCCAGTTCTGGGTCCCAGATTTCATGGAACAAGAGAGGTTTTGAGCTCTGTGGAGACCATTCCTGGAAAGAGGAAATGCCCTGTATTGCTGTCAACTTAGGAGCAGCACTGACTGAGTTCAAAGGCAACTGAGTTCATTGTTCTTATTCAGAAGAATAGGTTGCCCTACTTTTGGAAGCCTTTGAGCAGGGAGAACATAAAGGGCAAGATGAGGAAATCCTAGAGGATTCTCTAAATTTCCCATTTCTTCCCCCACAAATCTGTTTTGACTAGTGATATTTCAGACTTTTTTTTTTTTTTTTTGGTTGGTTTGTTTCAGCGGATCCCTTTGAAATGATGCTAAAGTCCCTGTTGAGGTACCAGTCTGGACTCAGTGGGGATGCGGGGGAGAGTCACCTGAGGAAAAAGCTGTATGAAAACGGTGTGACCAAGTCCCTGCAGAGTAATTTTGCTGTCATCCAGAAGGTGAATTGCTTCATTTGAAGGCTTGTAGTTTGCAGGCCAGCTTGTAACATTTTCCCAGAGAGAACAGCAATCTGTGGCCTTTAGTGGAGAGATTAATGGGGATAAAGGTTGGGGTAAAGGAGCAGAGGGAAGGTTGGTTGTGGAACCAGAACCATGTGCTGATTTTGAGAATGTTTTAAAATCTCAATATTCTAACTTCTGGACTTTTATTTCTTCTATTATTATTATGGAGAGGTGGTAGCTAAGTCTGATTTTTATTTATTTATTTTTGCTCTCTTCCTCAAAGTCCTCAAAAATATAATTT